CACTGAGCATCATGCGCATAAAAGACGCAGGGCTATTGCAAAGGCCCTGTGGGAGACGATTATACTCGTACAGCCCCATGGGAGTAGTGAAGGCAGTGTATCGCCGGTCAGAGTCATGGAGTGGGATGTTGTAAAACCCTGAAGTCAAATCCATGGTGCTGAAGAAGGCATTACCCCCTAGGGCAGCGAGACAATCTGATTGATGTGGTAAAGGGTGGGCATCTTTGACAGTTTTAGCATTGAGCCAGCGAAAATCCGTGCAAACCCTCAGATTACCGTCTTTTTTCCAGACCATGACTAAAGGTGACGCATAATCACTGACAGACTTGCTGATTATCCCTTTTTCCTCCATCTCTGACAACACCTCTCTCAGTTTTTGATAGTGCGCAGGAGGGACGCGGCGATAGGGGAGACGGAATGGGCGCTCATCAAAGAGATGAATCCTGTGCACAAAATCCTTTGCTTCTCCACAATCCAACTTATCTTTGGAGAAAACATCATGATATGACACCAGGAGAGCTGCGAGTTTTCTCTTCCATGACATAGAAACATCACATGCATCAATGTTAATGTCCCCCAGACCATAATCTTTCAACATCTGCACCACATCAGGGGATGGGACATTTTCAGCGGGAAATGAATTGGGAACGTTACAAGAAGTTTTACTCAATCCCTGTGTGACAGTGAGATCTTCTACCGCCAGACAGGAGGAAACGTCGGCAAGTTTAGAGTTGCGACGAAGTGTCACTGGTGTTGGATTAGGGTTAAGTATTTTCATTGGCACCCATCGATCACCCCACATGGGTGTTATTACTCGCCCAACCAGAATGTTCTTAGGGGCTGAGCGTGCAGTGGTTGGCTCAACAATTACAGTGCTTCCTGGAGAAACAGGGACATTAGCTGGCATTTTACCCCAGACCAGATACTCGCGTCTGGGAAGAAGAGTAACTGCTTGACAGAGCTTCACAGTTCCCAGCTTGTCAGGCTGTTTGGGGCCACACCAGCGGGAGATACAGGTAAGAAGTTCAAGCAATTGCTCACATTCAGGATCTCTATTATCACAGGAGGCAAGTTTCCAGTAGTCTTCACTCGATTTCATCTTCTGCAGTATACATTTAATAACATTGCTTCCAATTATGAACTCGTCTTTTTGTCCAGGCACCACAAGAGTTGGGACGACAAACTTAAATCCATAGATGACAACTTCCAAATCATACATGCACTTTGGCTGCGTTGTTAGTCCACCACATCCAACCAGAACAACATTCTTGGGAATCTCTTGATGTGGAAGGAGACCACTAGCTTGCAGCTTGGCCTCACCCTCTTCACTGAGCGTGCAAGACATACTACCAGAGTCCAATAACCCCTTCAATATGTGCTGGCCACCAACTGTAACAGGAGCATAAAACAACTCACTCGCTCCATTCACTCTCTGTGACCCCACATATAAAACGGTTTTGTCTTCTGGTAATAACTTGCAGCAATTCATGAAAACATTTTGCGCATCTGCTGGATCTGTGAGGGAGTTTACATTAAATTTGCCCATGTTGCCCCTCTCGTCACATGGGCTGGTTAGTTTAACTGGGCAGTATCTGAGGGAGTCACAGGGTAGGCAGATTTAGGGCAGTCGCTTTTAAAATGGCCAGGGCTGAAACAGAGACGACACAGTCTGTGACGTCTACAATGCAAGTATGTGGTGTGTTCCTTTGACTTACAGACTCTACATGGGGGATTTAAGTCGTTCTTGAAGTCTGCAGCTTTGCCTGCGTGAACCTGACTGGGTGACGTTAAAGAGGCAGTACACAGTGATAGGACTCTATCCATCATGCCAACCATGTGTTGAAAGCTGGTGTCGGGAGAGAATGGAACAGCTTTGGGATTAAGAGAGACAGGGGGAAGAGACTGAGCAGGTGTGGGTGCAGGCTGACGAGGTGGACTGGACACACAATCATAGCTAGTTGAAACAGTGCACTGGCTACAAGCAGACAGAGACAATTTGTGATTCGCTCTGGATGAAACTCGTTTCAAATCTCTCTGATGATTATCCAGACGCTCCTGAACTTCAGCGGCAGTCCATTTCTCAGCCGGTTTGAACTGAAAAGACAGAGCAAGAGTTGGGTCTGGACAATGTGAAATGAACATCATGACAGCTTCAGCAGCAGGATCCTCAATGCTCTTATTACGTCTATGCAAGCACTCATCAGCAACATCTATGGCCTTGTTAAGGCGTATCCAGTAATCCATGGGACCTTCGTTCGCTCTTGGGACAGTATTATAAAAGTCAGCCATGGGCATATTTGAGTAAGCCAATTCACTAAAGTTGTGTTTTAATATGTCAAACACTGCACTTTGAAGTTTACTGGCACTCAGTTCAGGGCGGCTTCGCAGGGACACCTTAACAACGTCTCTCGCTCTGCCAGCTAGTCTGCTCATAATGAGATCACGAACTTCTGACTGTGTTTTGCACTCCATTCTGTTTAAATAGCTGCTCATCATATCTTCCCACTCATGGATGGTAAACGAATCACTTTTATCGCCTCTGAAGAATGGTGGAGGTGCAGTGTCTTTCTGAACTATAACTTTTAGGGTGGAAGCATCAATGCTCTGACTGGGTTGTTCTGACAGAAGACGATTAGGCTGCACTGGGCTGGGCTGGTGCACAAGATTAAGGCTAGCTGAAATACTTTCACCTATTTTCTGAGCCAAATCTGAAATTATACTACCTAAAGACTCAGGGGAAATAGCACGTTCAGCATCTGGGCGTGTGATAGGGGTGGAGCTAGCTGTTGGGCCTGCTGAAGCACCAATTGCTGAATCAATAGTATGCATACCGCCCAAACTCATATTAGCTAACCCCCTCCCTCTCCCATAACAACGAGGGTTTATTTCAGATACCTTCTCATCATGAAAATTGACAAGCCCACCACCCCTGCCCATTGGAAAGGTCACATTTGATGGCTTCACTGGACTAAAATCGTCTCTGTCATTATCCCCAAACATGTTTCAATTGTAAAATGCAAACACATAAAACATTAAGAATTATCACAAATTGAAACGCTACAAAATAGATTTACCGCAAAATTTACCATAAAAGATGGTCAAATTTGATATCAAACTCACTCAATCAAACGTTAAGATGGAAAAAGTGTTCAAAGGGAAAAAAGCTCTGTCACAAGAGTATAATATTTCCTCATTCAAAGTCAGTCAGACACATTGCTGATTTAAAACAGTAACATTCAATAATTTGTTTCTGCAAGGATAAAGGATATGATGCACTGAGGTCACTCAAGCGTCCCACGCAGTCCTCACACAGTCAATCGCGATTAAAAGGCAACGATGAACGACGATCAGCCAGTTTAGCGCGTCTCTGACGAAACAGTCTGCCCCGCGATGTCAAACGCTGTTCCACACACACACACGCGCGCGTGCGCGCGATCTCCTTATCGCGAGCGCGGAGCTGCTGCGAGCAATGGCGGTGAAGGAAAAACCCGGAGTGGATCGGCGATGCGGAGTCGTCACTCAACCACGGCGATCTGCGAAGAGCTGATCAGATGATCCGGAATGGTCACGGGCACCACGTGTAACCGGTTCTGCGTTGTGTTTTCTTTGCTTTATTAAGGAATAACCAGTCGGAGATCTGCAGTTGTGACGGCTCTTTACTCACTGAGAATAAATCAAAAAGCACAGCTTTTACAGTGTGTCTTCGCCCTTTACAGCTTTTCTCTCCCATGCATAGTCAGTGCAGAAAGGGAAGAGATGGAGAGAAAGATAGAATAAAACTCCAAACAATATTAACAAAGTGACAAAACATACCTGAGAATAAATCAAAAAGCACAGCTTTTACAGTGTGTCTTCGCCCTTTACAGCTTTTCTGTTAAAAGTAAAGTGCAATGCATTTAGCATTCACATGCTTCAGTTAGGCTAAAGTTAATCAAAACCTCAATTTAAGTGATAACACAAAAATAATGAAATATATGTGAAAATAAAGGTATAAATATTATTTAAACATGAAAACTAGCTATAAAAGTTATTTATAAAGTAAAGATGATTAAAGATTAATTGGAGCTTAGCAGACACCCACCTCTCCCATGCATAGTCAGTGCAGAAAGGGAAGAGGCGGGGCGCAAAACAGGAAATTAAACAGCGTGAGCTCCCTTAGAAATTTAAAGGAGAAGACACACACTAACAAACACCTCAGGTATACTTACTAACACATTAGATAAAACACATATTTTGTGTAATTCTATACTTAAAGCGAATTATAATTTTCATACCTGTTACATAAACGTTGACAAAATTTTTATTTTTGGGTGAACTATCCCTTTAATATACATATTTGTTTTTCCTACTATGGATGTCAATGGTTACAGGTTTTCAAAATTCTTTAAACTAACTTCTTTTGTTTTCAACTTAATAAAAAACAAACTCAAACTGGTATGCAATAAGTAAAGGGCTAGTAAACAATGACAGAATTTTCATTTTAGGGTGAACTATCCTTTTAACATACATATTTGTTTTTCCTACTATGGATGTCAATGGTTACAGGTTTTTAACTTTCTTCAAAATATAATTTTCAGTGTTCAACAGAACTTTAAAAAAAATGTAAAAAAAACTCAAACTGGTCGAGAACAAGTAAAGGCTTAGTAAATGATGACAGTATTTTCATTTGTTGGTGAACTATACATGTAACATGCATTTGTTTTTTCTACTATGGATGTCAATGGTTACAGGTTTTTAACATTCTTCAAAATATCGTTTTTGGTTTTTAACCGAACTTAAAAAAATTCAAACTGTTCTGGAACAAGTGAAGCCTTAGTAAATGATGACAGCATTTTCATTTTTGGTGAATTATACCTGTAACATACATATTTGTTTTTCCTACTATGGATGTCAATGGTTTCAGATTTTAACATTCTTCAAAATATCTTCTTTATTGTTCAACAGAACTAAAAGCCTAAAGAGTATTGTTGCTGTTTGCTGAAATGTGTTTTTCTCTGCAGGCGAGCTGAAGACAGCTGTGGCACTGGACCGTGAAAAGGTGTCTCGATACTCTCTGGTTGCTCGTGCGACGGATGGTGGGGGTTTGTGGTGTGAAGCTGAGGTTGTGGTGGATCTCCTGGACGTGAATGACAGTCCGCCGATGTTCAGCATGCCTCATTACACCACCAGCGTCTACGAGAACACCGCCACTAAAGCTCTGCTCACCCGCATACAAGCCATAGATCCTGATCTGGGTAAGAGCATGTCATTTTGACGACAGGTGAAGTGGAAGGTTTAAGTGTATAGATTCTGGTTAAAAAAAAAAAAAAAAAAAGTGAACTAACTTTGAACTGCTTATATGCAGTTTTGTTCAGCTAGAAAACATTGTAAAAAAACTTTCATATATGGTTTTCCATATTACCTCATTTTATTCAAAGTGTTTTTCTGTACATAAAACAACAATATGGCTTTAAAAAAATTATGCATAAATTTTGTATTTTGTTTTAATGCTACTGCTTGTATTCCAGCCCAACTAAAAGATAAGATTTTCTTCAGAAAGCACATCACTTGGGAAATATGAATAGAAAAAATTGAGGACTAGTATTTCAAAACAAATATTTTTGCTGTCAATTGTATTAATTTGATTTTAACATATAAATTTTTAGACAGTGCATTAATACCATATACCATACATAGCAGTGCAATATGGCTGTATATCGGCACTGGTGGGAGGTGTGCATCGGCTCAAGGCCACAGGCAGAGTGCCTTAGTGTCCCACTAGTGAAGATATACAGCCATTTATGCAACAGTTTGACGGCATAATCGTGTGTATGAAAAAGAAAATCAAACAATCTCAAAAATTCTTTTGTATGAGGAACTACTTTCTTCCACCATTGATTCACATGATTGATTATAACACATTGCTGCACATTGATTGCTGCTGATGTCAGAACAGCAGAAAACGTTGCTACATCACACACGTCAATTTAGAGCTAGTATTTGAATGATTCTTTAGCGTAATGTCTAAAGTGATGACAAAACAGATGATTTTGCTCACATTTTTAAGATTATAAGGCTAAACGACATGAAATGCCATCAGTCTACAGAGATTTCCCAGGATTTCTCTGAAAATGGGATTTTACAATAATTAACCCTGAAAAAGCCAAAGCAACCAGATTACTATGGTGTAAATATAGCACTACAATACGCAAAAGAGAGAGATTGACTTAGAATGTCACTTACCTGTTCCGTAAGGATTTCTTCAGCTCTAGTTTGAAACTTACACTGTGCAAATGCTGTTATTCTCCCCTAAGGGGTTATTATGCGGTCTCTGTCGCCATCTTGTGGCGGAACGTCTTTGCTCTGCTCAGTATGACAGGTTGATGGACGTCGATGTGCTAAATATTTAAAATAGGCACTATCCTTATACATAAACTGCTTGGTTAAAATCTAATTTTCACTTAAAAAAAGCCTCAAAAGTACATTATGTTGTCCAACAGCTGCAATATTTGTCAAACTGTAGTGTTTTTATTGATCAGTCTATGTGAGCGAAATAATACACAAGAGTGAAGAAGCTGCCAATCATATTCGAGAACTAGACAGAAGTGTTGTAAATATATTAATCATGATTAATCACATTCAAAATAAATGTTTGTTTTGACATAATAAATGTGTGTTATATATATATATATATATATATATATATATATATATATATTATGTATACATGATACACACATATATAAACAAAACTATACGAGACAATATAGTAATGAGATTTTAAATCTAATTACTGTATATATACAGTAATTTATCTTATACATATAATCATATACATATATATTATATAATAATAATATAATAATAATAATAATAATAATATAATATATTAAAATATATATAAAGTATTATAATATAATATAATATAATAATTTATATAATATATAATATAAAAATAATATAATAATATAATGTAATGTATATAATATAATATATTATAATATAATATAATATAAAATAATATAATATAATATAATATAATATAATATAATATAATATAATATAATATAATATAATATAATATAATAGCACTTATAATATACATTTAACCACACATACACACAATAATGTATTTATTTATTCAGTTAAGCAATACAAATATTTCTTCTTATCAAATGTATTACAGTATTACCTTTTATAGTGGTAAACTCTAAATACTGAATCCTTTCAGTGTAGTTTATGGATATTAATACTGGCATATTTTGTGTTGCAGGTGTTAACCGTAAAGTGGTTTATTCCCTGGTGGATTCGGCCGATGGATTCTTCTCCATCGATAAATCCTCTGGGATTGTGGTTCTGGAGCGTTTGTTGGACCGTGAGATTCAGTCTTCATATCATATAGTGGTCCGAGCATCAGATCAAGGTGTTCCTGTCCGGCTCTCGTCCCTTGCAAACATCACCATCACAGTTCTGGACATTAATGACAACCCGCCGGTGTTTGAGCGGAGAGACTATCTGGCCACACTTCCAGAAGACGTTGCGGTCGGTACAGAAGTAGTCCAGGTGTATGCCGCCAGTAAAGATATCGGCACCAATGCTGATATTTACTACAATATCAGATCAGGAAACCAACAGGGTCATTTCACAATTAACGTCAACACAGGTGAGATGTCTAACAAGACATTAATAGACTCTTTATTACATTTCCAGGATTATCAGTAGCGGAAGTCGTCATAGTTAGGTAAACAGAGCGCAGTGAATGGAAGGGTACAACTAATAATTTTTTTTACAATCCCTAAGGCTGATAACGGCAGCCAGAAGAGACAATAAGTCAAATTTACTCTCCCGCCCATAGACGCTGCATTACAAACACCTCGCATAAGTGGTAATTATTTTTATGTGATGCAAAGATGATATAATGCGTACATAAATAAATATAAATATGCAAACATTTAAAAAAATCTAAATATTAAATGATGATGACTGTTAAACACATCATAACAGTCTTGTGAAAAGGGTCCATTCCTGTATGTGTTCTGTTTAGCTTATTCTAATGCTAAAGTGTGCTCTTTTCTGCAAAGTTTCAGGATTTATGAGTAATTTGCCTATGGAATTAATAGAAAGAACAATTGGACACAAAAAAACAGTCAGACTGCTTGCTCTACAAAATTTTGTTTATGCATAAAAATATGAATACAAATACACATCATAAACTCCAATCGCTTGCCCCAGGTGGGATTAATGAGTGGGATTAACCTGTTAGCCAGCACTCACTTTTGGAGATTTACACCTACCTTAATTTAAAGTTACAGTTATTGACCCCAGTGAGCTATAAACAAAAATAGGTATCATTGGAAAGATTTGAGCTTTACTTTAGTCCATCTAAAAGGTTTCATATATAAAACCCAACAGTCAACTGTATCAAATGAAATGAGTGTTGTTAACTTAAAAATTGACTAAAAGTAAATGCAACTCATTTGAAAAGAGTTCTCAACTCAGTCTTGAAGGTAATGGATTAATTCAATAACTCATTACTACAACTTAAATGAAGTAAGTTCACAGTACTCATATAGATTTTTTTTTACTCAAATGGTTTGTAGCAATCAGTTTCCTCAAACGGTTTGAGTTGCCTTTACTTATTGGGTTTTACAGTACTTAGTTGATTTGAGTTCTCTTCATTTATCGGGTTTTACTGTTCTCAAATTGCTTCGTTTACTCAAATGGATTAAGTTCACAGTACTCATTAGGATTAGTTTTTAAACTTAAATGGATTGTTGCAATCGGTTTCCTTAAATGGTTTGAGTTACCTGAGCTTTTTGAGTTTAACAGTGTACTAAACAGTATGTAAAGTTATACATTTTGAGAAAGAAAACTTGTACTGTGTTTAATATTTGTTTTTTCTTATACAAACACAATGTGCAAAACCAAGTGCAAAACAGTTCCCCAGTGCTGTAGTTTAAATATAGAATTTCAAATGTACAATCTAAAAATGAATGACTGTGTATGATTATGTATTTTTGATGTTTTTAATTGTAGGTTTTGTTTTCATTGTTGTATAGCTAAGGTAAAGTTGAAATAATAACTGATGATTCAGGGGTATAGTATTTAATTTTCTAAATAATCTTTCTTTCATTTAATGTTTTTTTTTATTATTGTGGGTAAATGGAGGTGATATTTCTTATATTGAATATTATCTAAATATGGAAACAATATGGCTTTGTTTTTAATGATTGAATAATGACATAAATGTGATTGATGATGTAAAAAGAGGGTGGATAGATGCTTAAAATAACCAAAGAGGTTCAAATCGAACATTTAATTCTGCCTAGTAAACCTAATCCACTTGTTAAGTGTGACGTCACCCGAAGCGGCTTCCGGGTCCAAGCGATCTATTCAACTGTATGGAGAGACTCAGTGGTAATTAAAAACGTTTACAAAGTGATTTAATATTTTCGAAAATCGCGATCGCAATATTTATGCCCATGCCTATTATCCGAAAGCCATTCATTTTTTTATAAATTGTAAAAATTTTTGTTTTTGTGATGCAACAAGCCCAGAGATTGTTGTGTACATTATGACTTTATATAAAATTAACTTTAATGTGTGATATAAATTAAATGTGATCATAAACAAATAATTTCTCAACTCAAATGAGTGGCAGCTTGGACCCGGAAACAGTATTACATACGTTACCAACTTGTCATCCCTTAACAAGCAATTTAGATTGTGTCAAAGCAACTTAGCATAGAAATTCTAGATGTGTATGCTTTAATTCAACTTTAATGACAAAAGAAAACATTGAAGTTAAATGAAAGGGATAGTCCAGCCAATAGTTCTTCTGCTAAACACAAAGAAAAATGTCAGTATCCCAACTGATACTCTCCACCTATTGCCAAATAAATACCATGGCACACTGTAAACAAGAAAAAAAAAAGTTAACTCGATTGAGAATTGTGAGGCAACTTGCTGCACAGCTTTTTTAGTCGACTCAACTTAAAATGAGTCAAATGCAGTTATTGTGTTAAAGTTGAGTCAACTCAAAAAATCTCTGCAGCAAGTTGCCTTACACTTTTAAAATGCAGTAAATAGATGGCCACATCTGTTTTTAGCCAATTTAATCTTTCAGTGTGATTTTTTTTTTTCATGCTGCTTATGGCCAGAAAAAAATAAATTCAGATAATAGAAATGATCATATAAATAATTTGAATGTGCCTAGCTGAACACTTAAATCTTTAAATGCTTACCTAGAATACCTACTGTATAATATAATGCCATAAATTTAACATTTTGCTGCCTTATTATATTTGTAATACTTACTTGAATAAAATATATCTTATAGATTACCTTACAGTCTACATCAGGCGTGACCAACTCTGTTCCTGGAGATCGACCTTCTTGCAGATTTCAGTTGCAACACATATCAAACACACCTGCCTGTAATTATCAAGTGCTGTTCAGGTCCTAATTAATTGGTTCAGGTGTGTTTGATCAGGGTTGGAGCTGAACTTTGCAGGTCGATCTCCAGGAACATGGTTGAGCACCACTGGTCTACATGAACCAGAAGCTTTTTTTTGTTTTGTTTTGTTTTTTGTGACGCAGTTTCTAGAGAAATAGAATATTAGAAAACAGTGGGCGTGGCTTGTTTTTTCTACTGCATGCTGATTGGTTCTAGTAAAGTAGGGATTTAATTTAGAAAGGTCTGAAAATGGGCTTAGAAGAGTTATTATAACTGAGCGCTGTCAAAACTGTCAATTGGAGGGGCGTGGTTAAGTATGTAAGCCACACCCAATACCTCAGACTGACATAATCTGAGAATTTAACTGAAAACAAACAGGAAGGGCATTTTCAGATTTCCATTTTTGAATACGAAGGCAAACTTTAGTTTTCTTTATGACATGCACAGATGAAATGTTCACCACAAAACTAGACATGTGAGCTAACAAAACCAATATGGTTAGTTTTGATTTCATGTGTACTTTAAGGTTGACCATTTTTACCATTGTGCTGTGTACAGGTGCCATCTCTGTATCTCGAGCGCTGGACTTCGAGTCCTGCAAGGATTATTTCCTGACGGTGGAGGCCACGGATGGGGGGACTCCTCCGCTTAGCGCTGTTACCATGGTGAACATCAACCTGACAGACGTCAATGACAACGCCCCCATATTCAGCCGTGACGCCTACAGCGTGTCCATTAGCGAGGATGCAAACATAGGAGACACTGTGGTCAAGGTGAGCAGTCGTGACATTATTAAGTCTTACTTCATGTCTCTGAGGTCTGCATTATAGTGCGGTCTGTTCAGGTGATGGCGGAGGATGTGGACAGCTACGTCAATGGTGACATCCTGTATTCCATCATCAGCGGAGACCGAGAAAACCAGTTCTTCATTGAGCCAATCACAGGACAGATCAAAGTCAACAAGCAGCTGGATCGAGAAACGGTGAGGACCACCATTCCCCCTAAATCCCACAAAGACTTTATCTGAAATGACACAGATCCAGGAACAGCCCAAATCTTTCACAGACACACTCATAAAAACCTTTAATAAGATTTCTCATGCTGTTTCATTTCATTTGAAAGATTCTCAATGTGTCTTAGATTAAGATAATGCTTTTACAACTGTGAAACACTTCATAAAAGATAAAAAAAAAGCCTGGAGAGGTGAGTTTGGAGTTATCTGTAGTGAAGCATGTGCTCCCTTTTTAACACAGAGATATGCCCTATTACATTTTTGAGAATTAGAATTTATTTGTAGTTTAATGAGTAAAAATATACTACATGTATTATTTATTTATTTTTGCATAATTCATATAATGTTGCTGCTTAAAAAAATGCTTAAACCAGTTTAAGCTGGTTGGTTGGTTTTAGTTAGTCAACTAGGCTATTTTAAGAGGGGTTTTAGCCACTTCCCATAAGGTCTTTGCTGATAAAACAGCAAATAAAAGCAGATAGGCCAGCCTCCTTGTTGGCGGCCACACATGAAAAAATTACTATAGTAATTTATAGTAAATACTATTTTTAAACTATACTATAGTACTTAAACTAACCTGCTGTGGCAATTCCATAGTTGCTGTAATAACACACAATCCGTAATATAAATGAATACTGTAGTGTATTTATTACAGTTTATCAGTTCACTAAAGTTAAAACTTCACTATGCCGCAGCATTTATAAACAAAATGTTGTAAATACTGTAATATATCAAGTTTAATACACTTTACATAGTATATATCAATAACACTGTAGTATTTACTATAATATTTGAAGGCCTAGTTGGTTTTAGCTAAACATATCTGGTTTTGACTGGTCTCTCAACCCGGCGAAGCTTGTTTTACAGGTTTAGACTGGCTGGTTTTAGTTGGTTTTGGCTGGTTAAGGCCAGAACATATCTGATTTTGGCTGGTCTCCCACCCTGGCAAAGCTGGTCAAGCTGGATTTAGCTGGTAATTCCATCAGGTCGACCAGCCTGACCAGCTAAGACTAACCTGGAAGTAGTCAAACCCCCTAAAACTTTTTTTTTTTCCAAGAGTGTTAAGGCATTTTAAATAGGTAATAGTTAGAAACATGCTAGCATCCTTCTTAAACACAAATATGCTTTAAATGATTGTTAATCTACATAAACAATGTATTGTAAATGTGTTAACACATGCTAGCAATGTGCTAACACGTGCTAGCAATGTGTTAAGCATGCTAGCAACAGTCTACTCTAAAAGCTGGTAGCTATGAGTTAAGCATGCAATAAACATTGTATAAATCATGCTGACAATGTGCTAGCAACATGCTAAAACAAACTTTAAGGTTAGGCTTAAAGTTTGTCTACATACTTTACTATCTAGCCCAGTTGATATCCAGCAGTAAGTGTATGGCAAGATGGTTTTATGTTCAGTATAAATATTAATAATAAACCCATTTAAAAACCCTAACCTCTTTTAAATACTTGTTTATTAAAAACATTAAGTGAACTGAATATAAATGAATGTGTGTTAATTTGGCTAGTAGGGCAAGCAGTTGTAATACTGCAGCCACTAGATGGAGCTAAAGCTACATTACATACAGACCGAGTTTCCTTTTCACTCTCAAGTCAATTAGCGTAATGAAGTCATTGTTGTCTTCAGCCTAAAGAGTCGGTTTAATTATATTCCACTAAAAGGGGTCAAATAATTTCATGGCTCTTTTGAAATACGCCTTGAATGTAAGATGTATGCGCACTCTTTTAACTTTTGAATGTAAATCCTCTCCAAAGTACTTTAATTGTAACTAAGCTGCAAAAAAAAAAAAAAAAAACAGGGGAAATGATAGTTAATTTAGGAAATGAATCCCTTCTAAGTTTATAAGTGGAGTTTAGGGGGATAGAAAATATGCTGTAAAAGTCTAAAATACAGTCCCATTAATAAAAAGAAAAAGGTAGCAAAATGAGTTGCACATTTCTAAACATAGTAGTTTTATTAACTCATTTCTAATAACTTATTTATTTTATCTTTGCCATGATGACAGCACATTATATTTTTGACTAGACATTTTTCAAGGTACTAGTATTCAGCTTAAAGTGACACTTAAAGGCTTAATTAGGTTAATTAGGCAAGTTATGATAATTAGGCAAGTCATTGTATAACAGAGGTTTGTTCAGTAGACAATCAAAAACAAATATTGCTTAATGGGGATAATAATAATTACCTTAAAATGGCTTTACAAATATTAGAAACTGCTTTTATACTAGCCGAAATAAAACAAATAAGACTTTCTCCAGAAGGAAAAAATATTATACAGGAGGGCGAATAATTCTGACTTCAACTATAGATGTGTGTTTATCTCTCTTTACTCTGTACTCATCAGTGATTCTGCATGTTTTAAACTCCTCTCGCTGTGTTTGTGTGTGTGTAGATGGCTGGTTACTCATTGTCTGTGAGAGCTCTGGACAGCGGGACTCCTGCCATGTCCTCAACCGTTCTGGTCAACATCGACATCTCAGATGTCAACGACAACCCACCCACATTCACGCCGGCCAATCACACTGCAGTTATACAGGTATGCTAATGAGCGATGTATTAGTCTATTGATAAAATACTGTATGATCCGAACTGTATGAATTTAAATGGATGGTTCAAACCAACGTAGAAATGTCATCCAAAATGTAGATGACATTAATTTTCAATAGAACGTAGAAAAAAAACATAATAGCTAAAATAGATTTATAAAAGTCTATAGAAACGGACGTTTTGAGAGTCAAAAAAACATACACAGGCAACACAATGAATACATACATTACATACACAGCAAAACAGTTGGTTTGGGCAAATTAATTAAATGTTTTGAACACAGTATAGTTCATTTTAAGAAAGATTAAAAATATTTTGGCACAGTAAACATGTCAGGCTAAATAATTTAAATAAATCACTGAATTCTGCTGTCTTCATTAGCTTCAAAAACACAGATTTCTTTACAACTTGAAAAGGCATCTTTGGATATCCCTTTCTTTTCTGTGGATATTAAGTAAATATGGGGTGCATCCAAACCATCATTTGCCAACTAAGGTTGCAAGTTCCGTCGTTACAAACATAGTTTGTTGATTTGCCGTTTCCCAAATCCATCGTTCCAACGAAGATTCGCAAACTGCGTCGCAAACTTAAGCACTGGCAACTACAGCTCTGGAGCTGTAGCTTGAAACAGTTTCTTGGTGTGTTCTATTCCCACTTATTCCCCTATGCCCTATTCATTTAGAACAGGGGTTCCCAAACTTTTTAGCACGCGACCCCTAAAATAACAATGCCAGTGACTCGCGACCCCCAATATCCTCTGAGGTGGTTATAAATACAGAAAACTTGCATGCAATGGTGCGTGCACACACCAATAGACCCAAGTCTATTGTTCGTTTAATTTTTTTTATGTATGTCAGTGCGGTAAATGGGCCAGAAAGTTTACCCTGGTGTTATAAAATCAATCTGCTGCATCTGACGCTATTGCTGTCTTTAATATAATGTAATTACCCCAGGGGTCGCAATCCAATAGAACTAGTAAATAAGCTACTATAGTAACTATAAACGACTGTTTTTTTCTCTTCAGTTGGTTATGGATAAAATATGGTAATTCTTATGGCCTAATAATAATAAGTAGATTTTTGGAAATCACCAGGCAACTCCTCTTCATTGTTCCACGACCCCTCTTCATTGTTTTGCGACCCCTCAAGGGGTCCCGACCCCCACTTTGAGAACCACTGATTTAGAACATTCTAAGATTCAAAGTTGGAATTTATAAAAATAAAAAAAGCATTAAAGTCATCCCAACAGGTAACCCAATGATGGGTCATTTTGGCACCAACCTGCTGTTGGGTTATTTTGTTTTGTTAAGGTTAACCCATCAATTTGGGTTACAAAAATAACTAATTTATTGGGTTATTTTTCCAAAAAGTGGCTTAACCACTGTATAATAGTAAATAATAATATTAATTATTATTATTATTATTATTATTGGGTTGATGTCTCTGCTAGGTCTTAAAGGCTAGAATGACGGCTGAATAGCTCAAACTTGTGCATCATTTCCTCAAAAAAAAGGAAAAGAAAACTGGAAATGATCACATTGGTAGAGAGTGCTGGTAAAACGGATATTAAAAAACACGATACAGAGAGGTAATGTGATTAAAAACAACAACAATATTATTGATTTAGAGCTTGAATAAATTTTATAATGCAAAAACAACACTGCTCACACATATTAATACAGCTGTTCTGTGTCATAAAATCAGTTGACTGGTGATATTCAAAAACATTAACCCTACTGGTTGAGTTATTAAATAAATAACCTAATAACGTTTAAAAATAACCCGACAAAGCACCAAATATTATTACCTCAATCATTGGGTTGAATAAATAACCCAGCATTTTTAAGAGTTCACCTATTCACCTTATTCTCAGCTGTCGAGCGGGCGCTGCCATTTGAATCTTTTTGTCTCGCGACTTCCGGTCACATTCACTTCCATTCATTTTTTGACGTTAACAACTGCTCGTTACGCTGCTTGATGTTGCAATTTAATATTTTCTTATTATATTATGCTACTTGGTCTGTGTAGTCATGCAAACATTTGTTTGTTGAGCAAGTAGTTTGGCCATTTTCTGCCGTTTATTATTCCTAGTCATTTCTCCCATAGGCGACTGAATCAGAAGTTCTAAGACAATCGCGAAAACAGGCGCACTTCTGCATTTTAGAATAAGGTCAATACAGCTTGTTTTTGTATTCTCTACTTTCATCCCCTTTTTCCTTTCTATATCTTCTTAATGGTTTATGTTTATGTTTGTTAAATGTAAAAAAAAAAAGTTAAATAAATAATAATAAAAAGGTTCAAATGTAAATTTGACAAAACAAAAAAAAATCACAGTCATTGCTTTAAAAAGTCACTTACATCTTGTCTGGTCTGAGGGTGAGGGAATGTTCATTTTCGGTTGAACGCTTCCTTTAACACAAGCCTTTTTCTGCTGGACAGGAGAACAAGCCTCTGGGAACGAGTGTTCTGCAGCTGTCCGTCATTGATAAGGATGCCAGTCACAACGGCCCGCCTTTTCACTTCCACATCCTATCAGGAAACGAGGGGGCGTGGTTTAAACTTGACAGGGAGGGGCTGCTGACATCCAATCAGGTGTTTCGGAGGTCTGAAGGCACAGAATACGTCATTCATGTACAGGTAAAGAGAAATGTGGACCTGCACTGTAGTGATTATTTACTAATTTTTAAAAAAGCGCTATAGAAGTAAAGATGAATTGAACTGAGTTGTAATAGCATTAGTTCTGTGGTTTGATTCATGCTTGATTTAGCCAATCACAGTGTTTTCTTCCTCCCCCATCAGGCCAGTGATAGTGGTCGTCCGCCGCTGTCTTCTGTGGCCTCAGTTTTAGTGCGTGTCATTGAGGAAAGTGTTCATAAACCAGCGGCGTCTCCTCTACACGTGCACATCGTGACCATGGAGGACGAGTTTCCGGGAGGAGTGATCGGGCAGATCCACGCCACAGACCAGGACGCCTTCGATATCCTCACCTATGGACACACACACCAGCAGAGCAGCCTCTTCAAGGTATTTCAGTGTGATTGTGTTTGCTTTATCTGAATGCCACATTAGCATATTCATGTCATATTAGCTTTTTTGTCATTAGTAGAGATTTGGTATGTATTAGATTCGGCATTCCCATTTGGTTTTGTCCATGAAACTTTTACTGGTAATTGTATTATTAAGTTTTAAATATTATATAGGTTTTAAAATAAAATCATACATTTTTTTATGTCGGCGGCACGGTGGCTTAGCATCGTCACGTCACAGCAAGAACATTGCTGGTTTGAATCCCGGCTGGGTCAGTTGACAATTCTGTGTGGAGTTTGCATGTTTCCCCGTGTTGGTGTGGGTTTCCTCCGGGTGCTCTGGTTTCCCTTACAGTCCCAGGACATGCACTATAGGTGAATTGAATAAACTAAATTGGCCGTAGTGTGTTTGTGTGTAAGAGTGTGTATGGAGTGTAATGTTTCCCAGTACTGGGTTGCAGTTGGAAGGACATCCGCTGCATAAAAAATATGCTGGATAAGTTGGTGGTTCATTCCGCTGTGGAGACCCCTGTTAAATAAAGAGACTAAGCCAAAGGATTGCAATGAATGATTGAATCAGACATTATTTAAACAATATATATATACTGAACAATTGTGGTATTTGTTACTAGTGAATGTTAATTAATGGATTTTACTAACGTTAGTTTACTAATGTTAACTCCCGGACCATGTTGTAAAGTTTTACTGCATTTTTAAAAATGTTTTAATGTTATTTTATAATTTTTAAATGTTTATTTTACATTTTTTATTTATTTGATATTTTATTACATTTTATTTGGTAAAAATTTAATTGAATAAATAAAAAAATACTATATATATAATTTTTATTTGTCAGTAATTTTTTTAAATTGTTAATTAGAATATATATATATATATATATATATATATATATATATATATATATATATATATATATATATATATATTACTAATGTTATCTTGTAGGCCTTGTAAAGTATTACAAAAAATACTTTAAAAATACCTTTTAAATTTTCTAAATGTTAATTTTGCTGTTGTATTTAAAATGTTCACATTTTCAAATTTATTTATTTTATTTTATTTGGTGAATATAAAATAACATTTAATTAAATTAAAAAGACAATATATATATATATATATATATATATATATATATATATATATATATATATATATATATATATATATATATATATATAAAACATATATAATATAATAACAATATATATATATATATATATATATATATATATATATATATATATATATATATATATATATAAATACATAAATGAATACATATTTATTTACATATATATATATATATATATATATATATATAGTTATTGTTATTGTTATTATTATATTATGATATTGTTATATTATATTGTTATTAATTGTAACATTGTCTATTACAGACGGAATAGACTCAAATGTGAATTCAAATTAACTATAAGTGTAAAATGTAAATAATTCAGTTTTATTACTTTTATCACATCAGACATGTGCTATAAAAACTATAATTTTGTCTTTAAATTTTCTAAGTCTTCTGATACTTGCATTTTTTGTTTCCGTCTACCAGGTGAGTCCTCGTGACGGTCGTATCATTGCTCTGAGTGGTCTGGACGCGGGCCGTTACACCCTAAATGCCACAGTCACCGATGGCCGTTTCACTGTGAGCGTTCCCGTGAGTGTGCACGTGGAGCAAGCCTCGGTGGAGATGCTTCACGATGCTGTCACTGTTCGATTCGACCGCGTCTCTCCTCACGACTTCATCTCCCGTCACCTGCCCTCCGTCCGACGCGTCCTGTCCAGCGTCATGTCCACGTCCCGTCCAGACGCTCTGCACGTGCTCAGTGTGCAGCCGGTGGAGGCCACAGGACAGCTGGACCTGCTGGTGGCTGTGGAAAGTGCTGAAGGCGGAGGCTTTTATAAGGCAGCTTTAGTGACCCAGAAGCTGAGCTCGGCCCGTCGGCAGCTGGATCAGGTGCTGAGAGTGTCTGCGGTCCTGGATAAAAACTGCTCAGGTCTGGACTGCAGAGAGGCGCAGTGTGAACAAACCATCACGTTGGACTCACACAGTCTGCTCACTTACAGCTCCACCAAAACCAGCTTTGTGTCGCCCAAGTTTCACAGGAACACCAGATGCGTCTGCAGCGGTGAGTGGAGCTTATTAGACTAGAATGAGTGAAAATATTTTGGGTCATCCTTTATTTTAATGTACAATTCATGCTATTGATAGTTACAGTACAGTAGTAGTTCGGTTGATATTAGACAAGTAATAACCCAGTAGAAGAATCCAACAAAAAAAAAAGCAAGCATACTGTGTGTTAAAGTGGATATTTAATGCCAGAGTCACATTCTGATCTGTTGTCTGTTGCTAAACTCACCGTAACATTAAAATAGTCAAGCGTTGCGATGCTTCAAAAGCAGCGCTAGCCTCCTTCAAAATTAAACACACAAAACCTTCCATAACCGGAGGTTAAATGGTGTTAACCTGGTGTTTAAAAGATATTAACCCAGGGTGAATCACAGTGTGAAAAGCTCTTACATAAGCCCACCGATTGAGCATGCACTTAAAAAAAGCACACTCTCAAACACAGGCCTCGTCCTTGCACTCAGAAACAGCAGGAATAGGAACACACACTTTTAGTGCTGTGGGCATTCAGCTAGATGTTCAGAAAAAAATGTTGTGGTCAGTAATATCTAGAGAAGTCTAGATAGGAGACATCTGCGGCTAGAAGAGAATGAGAATTATTTACAGTATATTATTAAAAACTATATAATTACCATACAGCAAATATTACTGTTTTTACATTACTGTGAGGTTAGGCAATGAGGTTAATAAGGTGTGATAAATGGTTAATTTAATAAATAATCAGAATAATAATTGCTATATTTACTGTTTTTACATTACTGTGAGGTTAGGGAAAGGGGTTAATAAGGTATGATAAATGGTTAATTTAATAAATAATCAGAATAAAACTTGGTATAATTACTGTTTTTACATTACTATGAGGTTAGGGAATGGGGTTAATAAGGTATGATAAATGGTTAATTTAATAAATAATCAGAATAATAATTGGTATAATTACTGTTTTTACATTACTATGAGGTTAGGGAATGGGGTTAATAAGGTGTGATATGGTTAATTTAATAAATAATCAGAATAATACTTGCTATAGTTACTGTTTTTACATTAGTGTGAGGCTTGAGTTGTTGAGTTTAGGGTTGGGGTAGGGATCGTGTTTAATAAGATATGATTAATGGGTAATTTAATAAATAATGTGAATAATACTTGGTGTAATTACTGTTTTTACATTACCATGAGGCTTGAGTTTAGGGTTGGGGTAGGGATAGGGGTTAGTAAGATGATTAATGGGTAGTTTAATAAATAATCTGAATAATACTTGGTATAAATACTGTTTTTACATTACTGTGAGGCTTGAGTTAAGGGTTGGGGTAGGGACAGCGGTTAGTAAAATATGATTAATGGGCAATTTAATAAATAATCTGAATCATACTTGGTATAATTACTGTTTTTACTTTACTGTGAAGGTCGGGTATAGGGTTGGGGTAGGGATAGTGGCTAAGATACAATTAATGTGCTAATTATTAAATAATCTGGATAATACTTGGTATAATTACTGTTTACGTTATTATGAGGCTTAAGTTTTGGGGTTAGGGTTGGGATTGTGGTTAATAAGATATGAAAAATGGGTAATTTAATAAATAATCTGAAAAATACTTGGTATAAATACTGTTTTTACGTTACTGTGAGGCTTGAGTTTAGGGTTGGGGTAGGGATTGTGGTCAATAAGATATAATTAATGGGTAATTTAATAAATAATCTGAATAATACTTGTTATAATTACTTTTTTTACATTACTGTGAGGGTTGGGTTAGGGTTAGTGGTTGATAAGATATGATTAATGGGTAATTTAATAAATAATCTGAATAATACTTGCTATAATTACTGTTTTTACATTAATGTGAGGCTTGAGTTTAGGGTTGGGGTAGGGATTGTGGTTAATACGATATGATTAATGGGTAATTTAATAAATAATCTGAATAATGTTTGGTATAATTACTGTTTTTACATTACTCTGAGGGTTGGATTTAGGGTTGGGATGGGGTAGACATTTGTAAAATATGATTATTGGGTAAATTAATAAATTATGTGAAAAATACTCTTTATAATTACTGTTCTTATATTACTGTGAGGGTTGGCGTAGGATAGTCATAAATAAAATGTTATTAATTATTCAAGTAATTGAATAAACAATATAAATAATTCTTGTTAACTTCAAGCTGCGGCTGTATCTCTTCTGGCAACAACTGTTAAATCTCATGCCCTGTTTAGACCTGGAATTATAGAGTCAGTCACGTGGTATTTTAAAAAGTCCTGATATTTTGTGGCAGACCCCTACATTGGTTGTTAATGCATAGTTAACCCAAAAATGTAAAATAAAATCATTTACTCACCATTTACTTGCTGTTTAAGAGTTTTTTTTTATTCTGGTGAACACAAAAGAAGATATTTTGAAGAATGGACTTCTATAGTATTAATTTTTCCTTATATTGAAGTCAGTGGTTACAGGTTTTCGGCTTTCTTCAAAACTTCTTTTGTGTTCAACAGAAGAAAAAAAGGGTTTGGAAATACTTAATGGAGAGTAAATGAGTAAATTTTCATTTTTGGGTAAACTCTCTTTAGTATATTAAAAATAGATAACAAATATGTACTATTTCTGCTATTTTTATTTTTGCAATATTTTGAAATTTATAGTGAAACTATGGACCTTTAAGTCATATTTTCCTGTGTCTATCTTAGACGGAAGCTGTTCTGCTGCGTCAGAGGTGTGTGCGGATATGAGGTGTCCTGGTGATATGCAGTGTGTGGGCACAGACAGCAGCAGAGGGCCATATGCATGCCAGTGTCCACCAGGCAAACTGGGAGAGTGTGCAGGTACAGTAACCACTCCTGACCATCGTGTTGAGCATTTTAATAAGTGATTACGGTCCACTAGGGTCCTATTAACACCATAGGTCACGCAAAAATTAATATATTATCCCCATAACTTTGGCGACACAGTGGCTTAGTGGTTAGCACTGTCGCCTGACAGCAAGAAGGTCACTGGTTTGAGTTCCAATTGGACCAATTGGCATTTCTGTGTGGAGTTCGCATGCCTTCCCAGTCTTGGAGTGGGTTTCCTCTGGGTGCTCTGGTTTCCCCCACAACCCAAAAACATGTGGTATAGGTGAACTGAATAAACTAAATTGGTCATGATGTGTGAGTGTGTGTGTATGGGTGTTTCTCACTACTGGGTTGCAGCTGGAGGGGTGTCCACTGCATGAAACCTATGCTGGAATAGTCGGTGGTTCATTCTACTGTGGTGACCCTTAAAAGCTGAAGGAAAATGAATAAATGATGAGCACAAAAGAAGATTTTTGGATAATATTGGAAGTCAGTAACCACTGTCATCTATTATTGGAAAATATACTATAAAAGGCAATGGCTTTTATTTTCCTTTTATCTCCTTTTGTGGTCTACAGAAACGTATAAAGGTTGAGGGTGAGTAATTGGTGTCAGATTTGTGAAGCGTTTTTGTGGCATTTTTGCCCCAAGGCTCACTTATTTCTAAATTAATGTTGTGTGTTTTCTCGTTTGTCAGGACACACCTCTCTGAGCTTCTCTGGGAACAGTTATATCAAGTACAGAGTGACGGATGGAGAGAGAAGTGGAGAGATGAAGTTAGCGCTGCGCATCAGAACACTGCAGAGTAAAGGAATCATCATGTACACACGAGCGGACCCCTGCAGTGTGCTGAAGGTACAAACACATACTGTAAAGGCCCCAATCACACCAGTGAAAGGCACCTTTTAACATAGATTTTCATTGGTAGTGAGCATTTTACATGGCGTCTATGTGCCCCCACCATTTTTAATAGAGCGATCCATGCGCCTGCAGTTGAAAAAGTCAACTAAGTTAAAAAAAAAAAAAACGCCCAATGTCATGCACTCCAGCATGAAGAACGTTGATACAGTGGTTGCCTCTGTATTCAACTAGTTCATTCTAACTACATTTTAAGGTTAAAGACTACCCATATAAAATGCTCTTTTTTTGTATTCTCACAAAGGCTGCATATATTTGAAAGGTCAAGTCAGGGCGCAGAATGTCAACAAAAAATATTGCGTCTATTCTAAAAGCATGTGCTTGAGATTTATTAGAACAAGCTTCTGACAAACTTTGACTTCTAGATGAACTTTATTTGGGGTTAAGGAATACTAAACAGGCTAGATTTAAGTTTTGGCTTTCTGTTGTTCATCGAGCAGGGAAAAGCTTTGGTTCCAGTTGTTTACGGGAGCAGTCTAAGCATCTAGAACAAGCTAGAACTACCAACTAGAACAAGCTTTAATAAACAAGCGCATCGCAATTGCTTCGGTTTTTGGAGTCTTTTTGGCTCAAGACTTCCAGTCTCTTTTACTTCCATTTATTTTTAGACGTTTAAAGCAGCCTGATGTTCTGCTTAATGTTGCAAACTGATGTTATCTTAATATACTATTCTTCTTTTTATGTTTAGCCATGAACATACTTGTTTGTAAAGCAAGTAGTTTGAATGTTTTTGCCATTTATTATTCCTAATCTAAAAGAATTAATAATTTTTGCTCGTTCATACTACTTATCTAAAATGAGCTGAATTAACACAATTCTTGAGATTTCATTAGGACAACTTATTTTATGTTCAATCCACATGATTTTGTTAAAACTGTTAAGTTAACATTTTGTGTTGGGACAACATGAATGAATAGTGGATCCCAGTATTTTTTTACAGGGTAGTCATTTCTCCCATACACTGAAAAAATTATATCTGCAACCTTGTTGCAAACAAATGATATGTGTTGAATTTAAACAAACTAGTTAAATTTAGTAATGTTCAATATAAATTGTTTGTTTAAATTCAACCTGAATAAATTGTTTACAACTACTTAAAACAGTTCAGTAAATCCAAGGAATCTTTTCTGAATAATTTTTTTTCAGTGTAGACAACTCAATCGAAAGTTTTAAACCAATCGCAAAAACAAGCACACGTCCACATGGTAGAGTAAAGTCAATATTTAAGTTTGTCTTTCCATTGTTCTATCATACACCTGGCGCAAGATGCGATGCAATTGTTGTTTGCTAGTTTAAGCTTGGTGCAAGAGTTGTTTTGACGTTTTGCACCATGCTGTTTGAATAGAAAATGCATTTGCGCTCATATGTGCTCCTATAGGTGTTGTGGTCTAAAAAAGGAGGCGTGTTAAGGCGCATTGCTGGAGCGTTGCTATTTTGAGGAACCTGGTTCAATAGACCAGATCAAATCAGGTCTATAGTTCAGCGCAGAGCGCATTAGTTGTGCGCCTCGCTTAAACATTGCTTATTACACACAGCATGTACAGCAATACGCAAATATTTTTACAAATAAAAAATAATTAAAGGATTAAAATATTACAAAAATAATTATTTTCTAGCCTACATAAATATAAAAACCACTGCCTCCATGCCTTCATCTCGGGGGGCTTTTTCAGTTTATTCATGGCAATTTGCTTTTGTATAATGTTATTATCAGTAGTAGTAGTATTTATTATATGCACATTTATATTTGTTTTATTAAAAACAAGCTTAAATTTGCCCATCTGTCAGGTTTTAGACCATATAGGGCATAGTACGTGTAGTAGGATATAACTCAATTTTTTTAGCTCAATTCGTTATTATTGTTTATTTATTAATTTTCTGGAAATTAAAACTGAATTTAGAAATAGTTTTGAAACAAATCTTTGCCCTTGATAAACTAAATTAATTATGTAGGCTAATGGATGTCTGTGCGTACAGGAAGTTTTCCTATCCACGAGAATGAAAGGGAAAGTAAAGAATGAGAAGGCTCATCTCTCATTCTCGCTCTGTAGATGCGGTTTTAACTGTTTTCTCTCTAGTGACGTGTTCAGTTTCTCCACCTACAAAGTTTGCCATGTAAATAGCAAATGCGCTGTGGTGCGACGCAACTGGCTCCTAAAGGGAATGGGATATGAGACTCTGATTGGTCTATTCTCAAAACACACCTATAAGTCATTAAGGGAATAAGCTCAATCCTGATAGACCGTGTGCCGCGGCGCAAAGCCGATTTTTCCGTCCTTAAAATAGCAAAAGTGGATTCAGACACGCCCTTAATGCTTTTGCGCCCTGCACTTTGGACTTTGCGCCTAGATCTTCAAAATAGAGCCCTATATCTTCATTTGATTGACAGATCAAAGAGGGAAAGCTGTGGTTCCAGTTGGATTGTGAGAACAGCCCCAGAAGCATGTGGAACAAGCTAGAACTGCAAACTAGAGCAAGCTTTACTAACAAGCACATCACAATCGCTTTTGATTTGGGTTTTTTCTTTTTAAAATCGTTTTGGCTCCAGACTTTCAGTCTCATTTACTTTCATTGATTTTTAGAGATTAAAAAACGACTAGTTCTGCTGCTTAATGTTGCAAACTGATGTTATCTTATTATAGTTTTCTCCTTTTTTATATACAGTCATGACCACACCTGTTTGTAGAGCAAGTACTTTGATCGTTTTCTGCCATTTGCTATTTTTAGTCATTTCTCCTATAGGCAACTGAATTGGAAGTACTAAAACAATCACAAAACAAGGGCACGTCCACTTTGTAGAATAAGCTCAGTATTTAAATTTGCCTTTCCGTTGTTCAATATAGACTATATTTACGTTTGATTGGCAGATTGAAGAGGGAAAGCTGTGGTTCCAGTGAATTTCATGTGAAAACAGTTCCAGGAGCATCTAGAACAGTGGTCTCAAACTCAATTCCTGGAGAACCACAGCTCTGCAGATTTTATTTTCAACCACCTCCATCCCACGCCTGCTTAATAGTCACTAGTAGTCTTGAACACCTTGATTAGTTGGATCAGCTGTGTTTGATTAGGGTAGGAGCAAAACTGTGCAAAACTGCGGCCCTCCAGGAACTGACTTTGAGACCTTTGATTTAGAACAAACTAAACAAGCGTAGTAACATACGTATTGCAATTGCTTTCGATTAATCAATTAAAATAAACTTTTTTAAGCCTGTTTTGGGATAAGGAATACTATACTGGCTATATTTACGTAAGTTTTGGCTTTCCGTTGTTCAATATACACTTTATCTGCGTTTGATTGACAGATTGAAGAGGGAAAGCTGTGGTTCCAATTGGATTGTGGGAACAGTCCCAGGAGCATCGGGATCTCTGGCCGGTTAGTAAATGACGGGAACTGGCACCATGTGGTCCTGGAGCTGCGAGGAAACTACAGCAGCCTCTCTTTAGACGATATGTATGTGGAGCGGCGACTGACCACAGCCAAATTCCGGCCTTTAGAAGCAGATCTGTCCATTTATTTCGGAGCACAGGTGTTGCCTCCAGATGCCCGGAGCTTGACGGAGATGAAGGGTCCGAGAGTCACCAATGGATTCCAGGGATGTCTAGACTCAGTGGTGCTCAATGATAACGAACTGCCGCTGCAGAACAAACGCAGTCCCTATGCGGAAGTGGTGGGATTGACAGATCTCAAACTGGGATGTGTTCTGTATCCTGACGCATGTGTCGCTCAGCCCTGCCTCAACGGCGCCACCTGCATCAGCCTGCCATCTGGAGGTGAGATTCTGGGTCTCCAGGTCTTGATAAAGAATTTCTGCTGCACGATGTATTGTCACAGAAATGAGAGTGATATTATGATTCTTTTAAGGACATTTTAAAAGAACATGTTCTCAACTTTTTTTCTCATCCATTAATTTCTATTCCATCTGTGCTTTTTTTCTGCTATTCCTCTCTACTTTATTCTGTTCTGTTGTTTTCTGTTCATTTCTATTCTCCTCTGTCTTCTATTCTTATATATACTATTCTGTTCTGTCCTCTTCTATGGTCCTGTCTTCTTCTATTCTGTTCCTTCCTCTTTTATTATTATCTATTCTATTTTCATCTATTCTATTTTACTATATTCTATTCTACTCTATTCTATTCTAATCTATTCTGTTCTGTCCCCTTCTATTCTATTCTGTCCTCTTCTCTTTAATTATGTCCTATTAGTATCTCCTCACTTCAATTCTTTTCTGTCATCTATTCTATTCTGTCCTATTCCTATCTAACCTATTCTATTCTGTCCTATTTGTATCTACCCTACTCTATTCTGTCCTCTTCAATTATAATATGTCCACTTCTATTCTATTCTGTCCTCTTCTATTCATATCTATTCTAGTCTGTTCTTTCCTCTTCTATCCTCCTCTCTTTTATTGTATTCCGTTCTGTTCTCTATTCTATTCTGGTTTATTCTGTCCTCTACTATTTTATTCTGTCCTGTTCTTATCTACTATATTGTATTCTGTCCTCTTCTATTCGCCTCTAATCTATTCTGTTCTGACCTCTTCTATTCTATTCTGTCCACTTCTATTTTCCTGAACTTTATATTATTCTGCCCTCTTCTATTATGTTCTATTCTATTCTGTCATCTATTCTATTCTGTCCTGTTCTTATCTACCCTGTTCTATTCTGTCCTCTATTCTATTTTATTCTACTCTGTTCTGTCCTCTTTAATTATATTGTCCTCTTCTGTTCCGTTCTGTCCTTTTTTATTCTTCTCTAATCTATTTTATCCTCTTCAATTCTTATCTATGCTAGTCTGTTTTGTCCTCTTCTATTTTATTCTGTCTTTTTCTATTCTCTTCTATCCTCTTTTATCCTGTCCTGTTCTATTCTATTCTATCCTGTCCTCTTCTATTTTACCTGTCCTATTCTTATCTACTCTATTCTATTCTGTCCTCTTCTGTTGTATTCTGTCATATTCTTATATCCTTTGTTCTGTTCTATCCTGTCCTCCTCTATTCTATTCTGTCCTTTTCAAATATATTATGTCCTCATCTTTTCTATTCCGTCCTCTTCTATTCTTATCTATTCTGTTCTGCCCTGATCTATTCTATTCCTTGTTATTCTGTTATGTCCTCTTCTATTCTCCTCTACTCTATTATGTTTTTTCTTCCCTCTCCTGTTTTTATCTACTCTATTCTATTCTATCATCTATTCTCTATTCTATCATCTGTTCTGTTCTATCCACTTCTATTCCCCTGTACTCTATTCTATTCGGTTCTCTTCTATACTATTGTCCTCTTCTGTTGTATTATGTCCTATTCCTATGTCCTCTATTCTGTTCTTGTCTGCTCTATTCTATTCTGTCCTCCTCTATTCTATTCTATTCTGTCCTCTTTAAATATATTATGTCCTCTTCTGTTGTATTCTGTCCTCTTCTATTCTCCTTTACTTTATTCTGTCCACGTCTATTCTGTCCTCTTCTATTCTTACGTATTCTGTTCTGTCCTCTTCTATTCTCTATTCTATTCCATTGTATTCTGTTATGTCCTCTTCTATCCTCCTTTACTCTTATATTCTATTCTGTCCTCTCCTGTTCTTATCTACTCTATTTTATTCTGTCCTATTCTGTTCTGTTCTGTCATCTTTTGTTCTATTATGTTCTCTTCTTTTCCCTTCTATTTTATTCTACTCTATTCTATTCTGTGTAAGCCACTGATTATAGAATTATTATACAAGAAAAAGCCTAATAATGCTAAGTAGATATTAACACTTTCAATGTGTGTTTTTATTTTATTTATTTATTTTTTTTTTTTGAGTTTTGTTCTTCTGTTGAACAAAAAAGAAGATGTCCTGAAAAATGTTGAAAACCTGTAAATTTTGAGGATTTGTTTTTCCACCTGTAGAAGTCAATGCTTACAGGTTTTCAGCTTTCTTTGGAAATATTGTCTTTTGTGTTCAACAGAAGAAAGAAAGAACTCGTATAGGCTTGGAACCACTTAGTAAATAGTAAGTAAATTCAAATTTTTGCGTGAACTATCCCTTTAATGTTATTTTAATTTTGTACAGTAATTTGATGCTTAAAGTAAATGTCCTAATCTAAACTTTAACAGGGGAGGTGTAGAATGTAAAATTACTTTACAGTCATGATGAGTAATGTATAATAGTCATGTTATGTCAGTGTATTGTGCATTAAGTCGATATATTGATTATTGCAACTGGCCTATCCAAACCCTCCTGAAATGGCAGGTTTTAGGCCTGCGAACACGATTCTTCTTAATGTTATAATTAATCCTGCTGGTTGCTTCAATTACTCTCTGGTTAATCTGCTTGGGTGATGTAATTACTCTGGTTAATAAGCTTTTGCTCAGTTTTGGCTTAAGTCAGATCAGCTCAGCTTCTGTGTGCTGAGTGAAGCTCTAATTCACATCCACCCAGTCTGACGGAGACCAAATGAGCAATTATGATGATTAAATCAGCCTCTGATTTCCACATGCTCTCTAGGAAATCTCAGATCAGCTTCTGTTCTCGTCGCCTGCTTTCTCCTGCTCTTCTTTCCTCTTTCCTCTTCTCTCTTTTCTTTAGTTTTTATATTTTGTCCTGTTTTTGTGTCCTACTTTCCTCATCTAATCTCTTTTTTTTTGTTTATCCTTTTTTTATCTTATTGTTCGGTTCTCATCTACTCTAATCTGTTTTGTCCTGTTGTTTTATGTTTAGAACTTTATTCTATTTTATTGTATTCTATTCTTATTCTTTCATGTTTTGTTTAACTTTATTCTATTCTTTTCTTTCTCCTGGTCTCGTTTATTCTATTCTGTCTTATTGTTTGTTTTTTTCAACTTTATTCTATTGTTTACTATTTCCTTCTAGTCTCGTCTATATTATATTGTTTTGTTCAACTCTATTCTAGTCTATTCTATTCACTTCTATCCTCTATTCTATTCTCTTTTCTATCCTCTATTCTTTCCTCTATTCTGTTCTATCCTCTATTCTATTCTATTCTCTTTTCTATTCTCTATTCTTTCCTCTATTCTATCCTCTATTCTATTGTTTTTTTTGTTATTTTATATCACATTTGTCTTGTTGTGTTGTCTCTTATTCTTTCTGTTCTCATCCATTTAATTCAATTCTCTCAACTCTTTTCTTTTCTGTAACTCTACTCATTTCTATTTTGTCCTCTTCTATTCTCCACCGCTCAATTCTACTCTGTTCTCTCCTGTTGTTTAGTTTAACTTTATTGTTCTATTCTATTCAATCATCTTCTATTCTATACTATTCTATTCTGTTTTATCCTGTTGTTTTGCGTAACCACATTCTACTCTGTTTAATTCTGTTCTGTTCTGTTCTTTGCTGTCCTCTTCTATTATCTTTTACTCTGTGTTCTCTCCTGTTGTTTTGTGTTCAGCTTCATTCAATTCTATTTTATTCTGTCCATTTCTATTCGACTTTATTCTATTGTGATTGTTAATTCTCCTCTGCTCTATTCTATTCTTCTCTACTCTACTCTGTCCTCTTCTACTTTCCACTATTGTGTTCTGTTCTGTTCTCTTCTATTCTATTCAGTCCTCTTCTGTTCTACTCTACTCTGTCCTCTTCTACTTTCCACTATTGTGTTCTGTTCTGTTCTCTTCTATTCTATTCAGTCCTCTTCTGTTCTACTCTACTCTGTCCTCTTCTACTTTCCACTATTGTGTTCTGTTCTGTTCTCTTCTATTCTATTCAGTCCTCTTCTGTTCTACTCTACTCTGTCTTCTTTTATTTTCTGCTATTCTGTTTTATTCTATTCATTCATTCATTCTCCATCATCTTAGTCTTTATATACAGAGGTCACCACATCGGAATGAACCGCCTCTATTCTATCCTCTTCTATTCTACTCTGTCTTATTGTTTTGTTCAACTTTATTCTTTTATATTCTATTCTTTTCTCTTCTATTCTATCCTCTTTATTTTATTCTATTCTATTATTTTGTTTAACTTTATTCTGTTCTTTTCTATCCTCTTCTACTCTGTGTTGTCATTTTGTCTTTCTTTTCTCATCCATTCATTTCTATTATGTTATGTGTGCTTCTATTTTCTCTCCTCCATTTTGTTCTGTAACTTTTTTCATTCATATTCTGTCCTTATCTATTCCCCAATCTCTCCTCTAATCTGCTCTTTTCTACTCTGTTCTCTTTTGTTTTGTTCGACTTTATTGTTCTTTTCTATTTCTTTTATCACCTTCTATTCTTCTCTATTCTGTGTCCTGTTGTTTTATTTTCAGCTTTATTCAATTCTTTTCTTTCTTGTCTTTTATTGTCATAAACTCTGTTCTATTCTATCCTTCCCTATTCTATTAAATTCTGGTAATTTCCTATTGTTTTATGTTTATGTAACTTTATCCTAATTTATTCTACTTTATTCCACTCTATTTTATTCTGTGATCTTCTATTCTACTCTATTTGATTCTGTTCAATTGCTATCCTTTTATATTTTAGTAACTTTATCCTATTCATAACCTATTCTATTCTATTATCATGTATTCTATTATATTCTCATGTATTATATTATATTCTTTTGTATTCTATTCTATTCTTTCCCATCCTTCTATTCTAATTTATTCTATTCTATCCTTCTATTCTAGTCTTGTCAATTCTATTCTGTTCTCATCTATTCTATTCTATTTTATTTTATCCTTCTATTCTATTCTATCCTTCTATTGTATTATATCCTTATATTTTATTCTATTCTCATCTATTCTATTCTCTTCTATCCTTCTATTCTTTTCTCATTTATTCTATTCTCTCCTGCCCTTCTATTCTATTCTGTCCTTCTATTTTATTTTCTTCTATCCTTCACTTCTATACTATTTTGTCCTTCTGTTCTCATCTATTCTATTCTGTTCTGTTCTATCCTTCTATTCTATTGTATTATATTCTTCTATTTTATTCTCATCTATTGTATTCTATTATATTCTCATCTATTCTATTCTGTCATTCTTTTCTATTCTCTTCTATCCTTCTCTTCTAATCTATTCTATTCTGTCCTTCTATTCTATTTTCCTATATCCCTCTCTTCTATACTATTCTATGCTTCTATTCTCATCCTCATCTATTATATTCTGTTCTATCCTTCTCGTCTATTGTATTCTGGTTCTATCTTTCTATTATATTCCATTCTATTATATCCTTTTATTCTATTTTATTATATCCCTCCATTCTATCATTCTCTTCTTTTCTATTCTATTATATCTTTCTATTCTACTACATTCTATTCTATTTTATTCTATTTTGTCCACTTTAGTCTCATCTATATTAATATTTTCTGTCCTGTTGATTTATTTTTAACTTTATTCTATTCTGCTCCAGTCTAGTTTATTATTCTCAATTCTAATCTCTTCTCCACTCATCCTGCTGTAGTAAAGTTGTAGTCGTCTCTCTTTTTCTGTCTTTTAGTATCTCTCTCTCTCTCTCTCTCTCTCTCTCTCTCTCTCTCTCTCTCTCTCTCTCTCTCTCTCTCTCTCTCTCTCTCTCTCTCTCTCTCTCTCTCTCTCTCTCTCGTTCTCTCTTCTGAATGGAGCAGGAGTGTGTTGTGGGAGTTGTTGTGTCGAACGCCTCCTCTTTGTAAAGGTCGTCTGCGCAGGAGTGTCTGGCAGACGTGTGTGTGTTTGTCTGTTTGTTTGTTTTTGTGTGTAGACCTGATAAAGCCAGCGCACTGTTTACCCACTGACATTTTCCAGGCGATTTCCCAGCGGCGTGTGTCTGTGTGATTGTCCTCAGCTTTGCCTGTCTGTTGTTTTTTTTCCTCTCTCCCAGGTTTCTCCTGCAGTTGCAGCGCTCTGCACACCGGAGGGCGCTGCGAGACCGAGATCAGCGTTTGTATGCCGAACCCGTGCCAAAACGGCGGAGTCTGTAAACCCATAGGAAACGCCTTCATCTGCAGCTGCAAGAGAGGATACACCGGTGCAACGTCAGTTCAACACTGTTTATACTTTCAAGTCACAAGATGTTTTAAACTAATGTATTGCATTCTAAACTATATTCATTACCTGACAAGTCTTGTCGTCTATCCAAGTTTTAGAAACATCAAATAATAACCTGACTTCTAATTGATTATTTGATATCAGAAGTGGCTTAGATGAAAGACAACAGCTTCTAGATTACGCTTATTTTACCAAAATAAAATATGATCATGCCTTGATTTTTAAATATTTAATTAGGACAGTAATGTCTCACTTTGCTTAGACTAAAGTCTTGTCACTTAGCATTTAATTTTTAATTCTAAATATTAATTCATTTTAAGGATTTAAGATGCTGATGACCGTTAAATGTGTCATAACAATCATGTAAAAATGGTCCATAAGCCTATAACTATATGAAGTTGAGGGCAAAATTAATTTTTAAATTAATAAAATTTAAAATCTTTTTTCAAAGATTTCTTAAGTATTTTTTACATATATTTTTATATTTTTAACACATTTTATTGATAGTTTCAATAGATTATTTGCAATAACTTAATTATTTATTTAATATCATTTATTTTTGTATTTATTACAATGCAAGTACATAATATTTTTCTATATAGTTTGCAAAATGCTAATATTGGGTCAACTGGGTTTATTAGGCAAATCATTGGACAACAATGTTTTGAACTGTAATTAAAATATATCATTTCTCAAGGGGGTAATAATATATATAAATAATATTTTTTTATACTCGTAAAAATAGAAAAACGGCTTTTATTCAAGCCAAACTAAAAGAAACGAGACATAAAATAGAAATATTATAGGAAATATTGTGAAAAAAAATGTCCTTGCTTTTTTTAAACATAATTTATGAAATATTTTTAAAATAATAAACATTTCGCAGGAGGGCTAATAATATTGTTTTTAACTGTATGTCTATGCAAATATTAGTAATGCTTCCGAAATATATGTATGTGTATATATTATACAGTATTTTTATCAGAAATATTATCTTTAAATATAACAACTTATTATAAAATTGTAAACATTGTTACTACTACTACCAATAATTGTAAAATATTATACATACACACAAACAGTGGGTACGAAAAGTATTCAGACCCCCTTAAAATTTTCACCCAGACCCTTTGCTCAGTGTTTACTTTTGATTTAATACAGCATTTTTCGTCTTTTTGGGAAGTTTTTAAGTTTTTCACACCTGGATTTGGGGATCTTTTGTCATTCCTCCTTGCAGTTCTGTCAGGTTGGATGGTAAATGTTAGTGGACAGTCATTTTTAGGCTTTTCCAGAGATGCTTAATAGAGTTTCAGTCAGGGCTCTCGCTAGACCATTCAAGAACAGTCACAGATTGTTGCCAGTCTTGTTGGATCTTTCCCAAAAAGACTCATGGCTGTATTAGATGCTGTGCAAAGGCTCTGAATACTTAGGATCATTTGATATTTATTTAATTTTTTTTTTTTTAGTAGATCTGCAAAAATGTCAACAGTTCTGTGTTTTTCTGTCAATATGCGGTGCTGTGTGTACATTAATATGAAGACATTAACTTAAATGATTTTAGCAAATGGCTGCAATATAACAAGAGTGAAAACTTTAGGGGCGTCTGAATACTTTCCATACTTAAGTCAAGTTTTAAAATCAACAATCAGAACAAAAACAATTGAGTTTTGTTTTTCGGAGGTGATTTGTGGCCGTTGAACCATAACAGTTATTTGTTATTCAACAAACATCCAAAAACATTGTGTGTGTGTGTGTGTGTGTGAGAGTTTTTGTGCGAGCGGGACTCTGTTAGACATAGTTAGTGAATCAGATCGATGAACTTAAACTTCCCGAAGTCAAGAGCTGCCAGCAGAATTTAATAACCAGCGTCTGTTCCTTTCTGAAACACACACACAGTCTGTTCACACTGGCAGCACACCATCAGAAACTGGCACAGGCTCAGCGCGTACTGACTTGCCATGTTCACATCCATATTCATGCTTACATTTCTTCCATGTACATGTTTATGCAGTCGCTGAATAGGCCTGGGTTGAAAAACTGAAATTCCATTATTGTTTTTTTTTTTTCAATTGCTCAATTCAGGATTGATTCTCAAATGCTTTTGTATAGTATTTCTGTAAATACAGTTCAAAATTATTAGCCCTCCTGTGAAGGGTGGGTGCAAGTTGGCTCAGTGGTTAGCACTGTCGCCTCACAGCAAGAAGGTTTCTGGTTCGAGTCCCAGCTGGGCCAGTTGGCATTTTTATCTGGAATTTGCATGTTCTCCCTGTGGAGGCGTGTGTTTCCTCCGAGGTTTCCCCCACAGTCCAAAGGAATGGGCAATAGGTGAATTGGAAACACACAATAGGCCGTAGTATATGTGTGTGTGTGTGTTTATCCGAGAGTGTATGGGTTTCCTAGTTCTGGGTTGTGGCTGGAAGGGCATCCACTGCGTAAAACATATGCCAGAATAGTTTATGATTCATTCCGCTGTGATGACCCCTGATAAAGGGACTAAGCTGAAGAAAATGAAAGAATGAATGAATGAATATTTTCCAAGTGCTTTTTTAATGAAGACAAGATTTTTTTTCAATACATCTCTAACCATAATAGCTTTAATAACTGACAATTAAGAAACTAGTGTTTGGCTTAAAGTGTGATTTAAAGACGTAACTAGATTAATTAGGCAAGTCATTGGATAACCGTGGTTTGTCTTGTAGACAGTTAAAAAAAAAGATTATATATATATATATATATATATATATATATTTATTTATTTATTTATTTATTTATTTATATATATATATATATATATATTTTTATATATATATATATATATATATGAGCAATTCCAGCATTATGGATGTGACATCTGAAGTAAAAACTCCAAACATAAATTTGCATAGAAATAAATGTTAACATTATATTGAAACTTTTGGTTTTATTTTCCAGAACAACTAACTACAGAGTTATGGGACCAGAAATTTATCAATCTGTAAACTTGTTTTGTACTTTAAATGAGGAAAATAAACATGCGTTATGGATGTGACAAAAAAAGAAAGTCTGCGGATTTACAGTAGACAACATACTTTGTAAAAATTCTGTGAATTAAACTGCACTACCCAAAAGAAACAATAATAAACAAAAGGATATAAGTTGGCTCTCTATAAAACAAAAAATGATTGGTTTTATTTTGTTTCATACATCTTCACATTTATGAGGAAAAAGTGTTGTTATGGATGTTAAATCTCTTTGTTATGGATGTGACAGATGTGAAATTGCCACTGGTGTGACTTTGGTAAATCAAATACATTAATAATAATAATAATTCCTCACATTTATTTAGCGCTTTTCTGGGCACACAAAGCACTTAGTTTATAAAAACTGACAGAGACATTTTGAGTATTTATAAACTACTGTAAAATACTTGCTTACCCATAAAACCCTGAAACAGTTTCCATATTTTGGTGAAAACTTTTTTTTTTCATTGCAAGGTTGACATTTGAAAGAAAGACAAATTTCTTCAGAACAGCAACAGAACATATCCCTTTGCCTTTTTTTTCCATTATCTTAATCAAAACTATATACAGAGAACAAAAAAAGAGAATAAAGAATTAAAGGGGGGGGGGGGGGGGGTGAAAACAATATATCCAGTAAAAATAAGTCTTAAAATTCTATAGAAGAAAAACATTAGGGTGAATGGGAGTAATGTACTTAATCCATTTAAACCATAAGTCAACAAATATACCTATTTGGTTGTGTACACGGTATGTTATTTTCTCCATAATGAATATATTTTTCTAAACATCAATCCCATCTTGCATTTGTGGTGGATTAGGTTTATACCAGCATCTAGTAATGGCTTTTTTAATTGAAGCAAGGATATAGTTTTTTCTGTCCAAGGAGTCCATTGACAGCATACCCAAATAAAGTACCTCAACGCTAAAATCAATTGAAAAAATGTAAGATATTTTCTAAAGTGCTATGTATCCCTCTCCTAAAACTTCTAATGTTAGGGCATCCCCAAAATATGTGGAAATGCTTAGCGTCCTGTGAACCACATTGCCTCCAACAATTTGAGTTTCCATAAAATGAAATTATCTGTTTTGGAGTAAGAAAAAAACGAATAATATTCTCCAGCAAAATTTTCTCCAATATGAAGAACGGGACGTAGCTCATTGTAATTTACATATAGGAAACATCTTTAACTTACATTTTGACTGAAACACTTTAAATTATCTCAGGAAGCCATAATCCTTAATTATAAAGTTAGTAATAAATAAGAATTAATTGTAGTGGAAGTTCACTTTTACACTCAAAAAATGACTTTTGCTGCTTGTTCAAACTACTTGTTTGAAATGAGTTGAATCGACATAATTCTTGAGGTTATTTGGTGGGACAACTTCATTGTTTTATGTTCATCCACTCATTCGTTCAATCATTTTTCTTTGGCTTAATCCCTTATTTATCAGGGGTCTAACTATTCCAACAAATGTTTTACTCAGCAGATACCCTTCCAGCCGCAACCCAGTACTGGAAAACACCCATACACCCTCACATTCTCACACACACACTAAGGCTAGTTTTGGTTACCCAATTCACCTATAGCGCATGTGATTGGACTGTGGGGGAAACCGGAGCTCCTGGAGGAAACCCACACCAACAAAGGGAGAACATGCAAACTCCACAAAGAAAAACTAATTGGCCCAGATGGGACTCGAACCAGCAACCTTTGTACTGTCTTACGTTGGCTTAGCACTGAGCCAACGTGCCGCTCCTGTTTACATTCAATCCAACTAACTTCTTATAAACTATTAAGTTAACTTACACGATTTGTGTTGAGTGTTGTGTGGAACCCAGCATTTATTTACAGTGTAGGAAGGTTCTACATCAATTTTTACACAGTAAATCAAGACATTGAATCGATAGCCAGTGTGTTGTGTCATACAGATTGTGTCCAGCAGAGGGCGCCATCAGTCTGTGTGTGTGTCAGTCTTCTTCACGCTTCTGTCTGCATTGAGGAGATTAAACTGCTGCAGTCTCTCTTGGCTTATGCTAATGGAGTTTATTACACACCACAGACGCTTGCACTTGCTCCTTCAGCAAACACACTCTCTTAAATAGTTTATACATTAATGAAGTTTTCTTCTTTTGAGTTAATATCAATGGATTATCAGTTTATATGATTAAATGTATCATATGTATATTGATAATAATATGTAACTATTATCATTAGGATTATACTCTCATTGGTCACTATTAGGTACACCAGTCCAGGTTTCCAATCAGCCAATCACATGGCAGCAACTCAAGTCATTGAGGCATGTAGGCATGGTCAAGACGAACTGCTGAAGTTCAAACTGAGCATCAGAATGGGGAAGAAAAGTGATTTAAGAGACTTTTAACGTGGCATGGTTGTTGGTGCCAGACTGGCTGGTCTGAGTATTTCCGAAATTTCTGATCTCCTGGGATTTGCACGCACAACCATCACTGGGGTTTACAGAGAATGGTCTGAAAAAGAGAAAATATCCAGCGAGCACAAGTTCTGTGGATGCAAATGCTTTGTTGATCCCAGAGGTCAGAGGAGAATGGCCAGACTGGTTCCAAATGATAAAAAAGGCAACAGTTACTCAAATAACGACTCGTTACAACCGAGGTCTGCAGAAGAGCAACTCTGAACACCTCCAACCTTGAAGTGGATTGGCTACAGCAGCAGAAGACCACACCGGGTGCCACTCCTGTCAGCTAAGAATATGAAACTGAGGCTACAATTCACACAGGCTCACCAAAATTAGACAATTGAAGACTGGAGAAACGTTGCCTGGTCTGCTGAGTCTCGAATTCTGCTAAGACATTCAGATGGTAGGCTCAGAATTTGCCACAACATGAAAGCATGGATCCACCCTGCCTTTTATCAAAGTTTTAGGCTGCTGGTGGTGTAATGGTGTGCGGGATATTTTCTTGGCAGACTTTGGGCCCAATTGAGCATCAATGGGCAATTGAGCCCATTGTCAATGCCACAGCCTACCTGAGTATTGTTGCTGACAATGTCTTTTCCTTTATGACCACAGTGCACCCATCTTCTGATGGCTACTTCCAGCAGGATAACCCACCATGTCATAAAGCGTGAATCATCTCAGACTAGTTTCTTGAACATGACAATGAGTTCACTGTACTCAAATGGCCTCCACAGTCACTAGATCTCAATCCAATAAAGCACCTTTGGGATGTGGTGGAATGGGAGATTAGCATCATGGATGTGCAGCCGACAAATCTGCAGCAACTGCGTGATGCTATCAAGTCAATCTGGAGCAAAATCTCTGAGGAATATTTCCAGTATCTTGTTGAATGTATGTCACAAAGGATTAAGGCAGTTCTGACGGCAAAAGGGGGTCCAACCCAGTACTAGTAAGGTGTACCTAATAAAGTGGCCGGTGAGTGTATACTCTATATTAATGTAAAAAACTGTGCATACTGTTTGCAGTTGAAGGTAAAATTGTTACCTCTAGTGAAATTGTGATCATTTCTCAAATATTTTTTAAGTGATGTGTAACAGAAAAAGGACATTTTCACAGTATTTGCTGTAATATTTCTTTCAAATATTAAGTATGTAATAAAGGGTACATTCTTTAAATGTGTTATTAACGTATATGCTGTATTTTTATATTTATTTTATAGTATAGTCTATATATAAATATGAATTTACTATGTGTTTTATACATAAATATTATTTTATCTTTGTTTAATTAATATAAATTAATACATGTTTCTGCTCTGAGTGGCCTGAAATGCCTCCAAATGTATTTCTTAAGCAACACAAGTTATATTTTGATTAACGTTTAATGAATGAGTCCAGAAATATTCATCATGCAAGTGAATAAGGCCACTTTTAATTTAATTTTGTCATTAAGAGCTCTTTGAAACATGGTAATTAATTCATTTATTCCTAACCGGCAGTGGCAGAGTGCAGTGAAATCTCTCAATGTGTCTCAAAACTCAGTGTGTGTGTGTGTGTGTGTGTGTGTGTGTGTGTGTGTGTGTGTGTGTGTGTGTGTAATAAAATCTCCTCTGATTGGCTGTTATTGTCCGGCCTTTACTTTTTCAGTGCAGACAGACGAATTACTTCAGGCTGTAAACGTATCCCATCATTCCTGCTTTCGGACACAGTGTCAGTTTTTTATTGAGCGACGCATTTCTGCCGAATCGCAATAAATTTCATAGCAGGCCAAGGACACAATGCTGTAGAGATGCGCCAATCGACTGCCCAGATATCATTATTTTGTTTTGCTTCGGTCAGTCTTCATTACTTGCATACAAACTGCATTGCAATAATTTTATTGTACTGAAGTGTGTAAACTGATCATTAACGGAGACCGGAGATGAGCAGATGCGCAAACAGACTGGTCTGAAATGGCAGAACACCCACAGATAAACACAAGATATTCCACATCAGCTTCAACAAATTGAGCATATATTATATTGACCTTCATTCATTTCATACTCCCAGTGTTTTCTACATTAAATCCATGGGCGGAGTGTGTGTAAGGCTGGGGAAGGCTGGACAAGGCACGGAGATAGCAGCAAAGAAAAAACTGCGAAATATTAATGTAAATTAATATTGATGATTAACAGAATACTTTAGTTATTGTAAGTTTGTCAACCAAATTTAAAGTCCTCCTCCGCACAAAAATGGAACAGTCCAACTTCGCACTTTGCACTGATGAGTTTGCAGCAGCTCTTAAAACGAAACCAAAAACTGCTGGCCAGCGAACTATTCCGATTTGCTAGTCAAGGAAATAAGTAATACATGACAAATAAGAGAGACAGGTATAATAATATATTATTCTGGTTTAACTTCTTTTCAGCATTCAATAAAATAGGTCGTTTTTATTTATTTACTATAGAGAAAAAGGATTGGATACATAAATAAATTACTGTATTACCAGAAATCAAAAATATAAGAAATTAGCTATTCTACACTTAGTTTAAGAGCAGGCACTGAGGTCCACCCTATTTAGTGCCACTCATTTTAAATTTTCTGGCCCCTGGCTGCATATCAAAAGTGACAAAACCACAGGACTTTACAACATAGACAACATCAATGCTTATAATGCCTGGTCTAAAAGGAGGATGTTGCTGCATAAGGTAGGGCAGTGGCAATTATTTATTGACTGCCATGCCAAAACACATATTTTGTTTGTTAGTCAGAAGGCTACCATTAATCTAATAATATAATATAATATAATATAATATAATATAATATAATATAATATAATATAATATAATATAATATAATATAATATAATATAATATAATATAGGGGCGAGGCAGTGGCGCAGTAGGTAGTGCTGTCGCCTCACAGCAAGAATGTTGCTGGGTCGCTGGTTCGAACCTCGGCTCAGTTGGCATTTCTGTGTGGAGTTTGCATGTTCTCCCTGCCTTCGCGTGGGTTTCCCCCACAGTGCAAAGACATGCGGTACAGGTGAATTGGGTAGGCTAAATTGTCCGTAGTGTATGAGTGTGTGCGTGAATGTGTGTGTGAATGGTTCCCAAAGATGAGTTGCGGCTGGAAGGGCAAAAAACTTGCTGGATAAGTTGGCGGTTCATTCTGCTGTGGCAACTCCGGATTAATAAAGGGACTAAGCCGACAAGAAAATGAATGAATAATATAATATAATATAATATAATATAATTATTTGTTATTATATACACTACCATGGGGCCGGAGAAAGCTGAACTGCCGCTCTAGGCAGAGGACGATCACGCCGCCCTCAACGCCAATGTGAAAACGAAAATGACCGATTATGAAAATGAAGTGAGGTGTCGCGGACCTCTATTCTGCCGCCCTATGTGCGGATATAACTGAGGACGCGCAGGTGCTGAGGGAGGTGTCGCGGACGCCGCCCTCTCTATTCTGCCGTCCTATGTGTGGATATAATTGAGGATGCACGGGTGTCGCGGACCTCTATTCTGTCGCCCTATGCGCGGATATAACTGAGGACACGCGGGTGCTGATGGAGGTGTCGCTGACGCCGCCCTCTCTATACTGCCGCCCTAGGTCGCCTCTATGGACGCGCCGGCCCTGCACTACCAGTCACAAGATTGGGGTCTGTTCATTTTTTAAATGTTTTAAAATAAGCTTCTCCTGCTTCTCTAAGCTTGACGTTGTGTGGAAGTTACCACTATGACGTCAATCAGATGTTGGATTTTAGTTGCCGTACCTGATGAATAAATGTCAGTATTTGATGTCAATATGACGTTGGTTTCAGATGTTGACTCGATGTTGATTTTTGGTAAATATCAACCTAGTATCAACACGATTTGATGACATTATTGGTTGTGCATTATTGGTTGTGCAAACAGATGGGCTTAGGGTTGGACTCTGCCCAAAAATGTTGATAAGCTGTTAGACAAGGGCAGGGCTACAGCCTTTGCGTCTCGGGCCAGGGTCTAGATTTAAGGCCTGTTCAGGCTCTATTACTTAAATGAAATGAGCTAACCAAACACAATCCTTGAGTTTTTTTTTTTTTAGAACAAATCAATTGTTTTATGTCTAATCCACCTAATTTTGTAAAAACTAAACTAACTTAATTCATTCAGGTTGTCCCAAGACAAATTGATTGTGCCCGGCATTTTCTACAGTGATATTGCAGCAAAATTAAATATCACAGTGTTTGATTTTTCTCAGTATCATACATTCCTATTATATGAGCATATGTTTGTCTTCTGCAGGTGTGAGGAGGACGTGAACGAGTGTGAGCGTGAGCTGTGTGAGAACGGCGGCATCTGCATCAACACTTTCGGCTCTTTCTATTGCAACTGCACTCCTGGTTTCGTGGGCAGCGCTTGTTCCGTCCGTCCGGTGCTCGTCCCTGATATGCAGGCCGGACATGCTTACGTTGGAAAAGAGGAGCTTATCGGCATTGCAGTTGTGCTCTTCCTCATCCTCACGCTCATCCTCCTCTTCATCGCCTTCAGGAAGAAAGTATTCCAGAAGAGTTACTCCAGGAATAACCTTTCCTTAGTTCAGGATCCTGCGACTGCGGCATTGCTGCACAAAGCCAACGGTGGCCACTACCCTCCGCTACGCTGCGCAATTGGAGAACCAATCAGCTTATATACTGAAGGAGGTATAACCGGGCCGCCTCAGGTTCCGGTCCGGCCCATGGCGTACACTCCGTGTTTTCCAGGAGATGCTCGGGGAACGCTTGAGAAGCGGGACGGACGAGGCTCGGAGCTCACAGAAATGAGCACATTTCATCCTTCAGAGTCGCCGAGGATTCTGGGCGGGACCAACCGCAGGGGTGTGGTCGTGTGCAGCGTGGCGCCCAATTTACCACCGGTTTCACCGTGCCGGTCGGACTGTGATTCGCTGCGGAAGAGTCCTTGGGAGGAGGACGGTGAGAATGTTTTTTTCATTTTAATTCTAATGTCTATTGTTTTTTATGTTTCCCAAATGATGTTTAACAGGGCAAGGAAGTTTTCAGTTTTTCCTATAATATTTTTTCTTCTGGAGAAAGTCTTATTTGTTTTATTTCAGCTAGAATAAAAGCTGTTTTTTTTCATTTTATTTATTTATTTATTTATTTATTTATTTGTATTTTTTTATTTGATTTTTTAATTTTTTTATTTAAAAAAAAAAAAATATATATATATATATATATATATATATATATATATATATATATATATATATATATATATATATATATATATTTGTTTATTTTTTATTTTATTTTTTTTTGTTTTTTAATTTTTTTAATTTCTTTTTATTTTATTTATTTATTTATTTTTATAAAAAATTTTATTAGTAGTACACAAATTGAGATCATATACAAAGAGAACAAAACAACAACAAAATATATACATATAAATAATATGTATGCATGCATGTAAAGGTAACTAGGTGGATAGTCTGAGTACATACATACTGTATGGGGAAAAAAATAATATACACACATACACACACACACACACACACACACACACACACATATATATATATATATATGTATATATATATATATATTTTTTTTTTATACAACAGTTTTGTCTGGTTTTCGAATCTGATTGGCTGATAGCCATGATATATTTAAGTAATATCAGCACCCGTACAGCCTCTTTACCCTTTGTGTATGACTCCGCACACATACACCCAGCAAAAAGCAGACACTACAGATCTAAAGTTAAAAAGATTCTTGCTCAGCTGTTTAACTGTCAGCTTATGATTTGAATCCAACACAGAAGTAAGTAGATCCTCATACAAAAGGGTTTTTGAAACTCTCCATGTTTAATTTTGTTTTTATATACACAATTATGCCGTCAAACTGTTGTATAAACGCAATATCACACTCGTAGCAGTGCGATATGGCTGTATATCGACAATAGTGGGGGCACTAAGGCATCGCACGCCTCTCACCAGTGCCGATATACAGCCATATCGCACTGCTACGAGTGTGATATAGCTCATATAACCAATCTGGCCATTCTCCTCTGACCTCTGTCATCAACAAAGCATTTGCGCCCACAGAACTGCCTCTCACTGGATATTTTCTCATCTTCAGACCATTCTCTGTAAACCCTAGAGATAGTTGTGCGTGAAAATCCCAATAGATCAGCAGTTTCTGAAATACTCAGATCAGGACGTCTGGCACCTACAACCATGCCACATTCAAAGTAACTTAAATCACCTTTCTTCCCTTTCTGATGCTCGGTTCGAACTGCAGCACATCGTCTTGACCATGTCTACATGCCTAAATGCATTGATTTGCTGCCATGTGACTGGCTAATTAGAAATTTGCACTAATGAGCAGTTGGACAGGTGTACCTAATAAAATGGCCGGTAAGTGTAAGTCTATATATTTAAGTGTAAATCTTCTACTTGATTTAAAGAATGCGAAACGGTGTAGTAATAATAGTGTGCTTCAGATGGTTTGTAAATACAGTCGCGCTGACATCAGCTGTGGTGTAAAATGTCAGCTTGTATTGTAGTAGTGATGGATTTCTATCACAGCCATCTCAGCAAGAACACACTGAACCTTTCATTAAAAAAAAGAGGAAAAAACATTTCTGGCTGCAGGCAAAATGGTCCAGAACTCCAAGCTCACACACTCCGGTCGTCTTGTACGCATGTATGCATGTTTATGTGTTTGCCAGTGTGAGTTTATCAGCTGCCTTTGATCAGTTGATGCCCGCCAACTGTGAAATCCATCTTTCCCTTCACATGTTTTATTTAAACGTTACATTTAACTGCATTTAACCTCACGCAGCTCAGAGATCTCACTCTCACACACACTCACATACACATACACACAGACACACTCACACGTACACACATGCACACATATAGACTCATACATGCACAGTCCACAAACGCATACACACCTGCCATGCATACACACACATGCACACTTACAGATGCACACACCTACATTTGTACACCCACACTCGTACACTTGTACACACAAACACGCACAGACACATTTACACACAACTATGCACACACACAAACCCACTCATACTGTACATGTTCACATACTCGCATACACAAATGGACACACGTGTACACAAACATGCACACACAAACATGCACACACACATGCACCTCATATACACATCTACACACACACACATGCATGTACAGACACACATTCACACACATGTATACACACACATGTACGCACAGGCTCAGACACAAACACAAATGCAAACACATGCACACTCACGTACAGTACATACACTCATGTACTATACAAACACACACACACACACACAGTGCACACTCACATGTACGCACACACTTGGACACATTCACACACAATGCACAATTAAATAGTACACACAGACACACAAAAGCATATACGCACACACTAAAACAGCCACACACTCTCACCAACTTGCACACAAACATGCACACGCACCTACACCCCAACCACGCACACACACACACACAGACACACACAGTACACACTCATACATACACACATATACACAAGCACACACATAGACACACACACAGACACACACGTAAACACTCAAACATGTGCATACACCTACCCACACACACACAGTGCACACAGACACACACACAGACATTCTCGCACATACACACACACACACACACACATACACATGTACACAATCAAACACATGCATACAGGCAACCACAAACACACACAGGCACGCACAAACACATACACACTCACACACACAAACATACATGCACACACTCACAGACACACACATGTACATACTCACAAAGGCACACACAGACACACTAACACAGCCACACACTCTCACAAACACACCCAGACACACACGTTTGCACACAAACATGCACACGCACCTACCACCACACACACACACACACACACACACACAGTGCACACTCAAACATACACACATATGCACAAGCACACACATAGATATACTTACACCTTCACACACACACACACACACACACACACAAACACACACAAAGTGAAAACTCACCTGTACACAGACACATTCACACACAATGCACACTCAAAAAGTACACACAGACACACACAAGCATATACGTACACACTGCTACACACACACAGACACACTCACACATCCACACACACACATGTACTGTACACATTCTGACACGTATACACACACAGACAAACACGTAAACACTCGAACATGTGCATACACCTACCCAAACACACTGCATAGTTACACACAGTGCACACTCACACAAATACACACATGCGTATACATTCACATGGACTGAACACACTCACAAACACACACATATGCACTTGCACATGAACAAACATGCATACACACACATACACACACAGTGCATGGTCACATACAGTGCACACTCACAAGCACACACATGCGTATACATAAACACATGCACACACACACACACACACACACTATCAGACACACCCCTGAGGTTTCTTTTCCCCTCACACTGTAAGATCCAGCCTGTTAAAGAAGCCATGGCCAGCATGAGAACAGCGCTGCATTGAGACTGTGGAGGACGCGTCAGTGCTGAAGCCACCTATGACTGTTTTTACCGCAGATAACAAACCCCTCTGCCAGATTTCATGTTATCAGCGTATGCAGTGGCTTTTATCTTCCTCAACTCAGCTCCGCTTCCCGCTGTGACAGTTTAGGCAGAAGCGAACGGGGGGGAGAAATAACGCTGGTGTTTGTTGAGACTGTTTCCACCTGCAGGATCCCACCGGCGACGCTCTTCTTTGTTGATGGGGTTTGCGGTGAATCAAATCTAAATACAGTTTACACGAGGGTTACGGCAGAAATTGAGAAGCGAGCTGTGGGTGGAAACGCTTCTCAGTAGGAAAAGCTTCGAGTTTATGCTGCATTAAATGTTGCTTTGTGCAAAGCAAATCAGAAGTCACTTAGTCTGAAGTTAACCTGGAGCTAGACCTGGCTGTAATGCTATTAAAATAACTCTACTGAATTGGATTTGTAGGGCAACACGACGTGGGTAGCACTGTCGCCTCACAGCAAGAAGATCGCTCGTTTGAGCTGCGTCAGTTGACATTTCTGTGTGGAGTTTGCATGGCAAGGGTTTCCTCCGGGTGCTTTAGTTTCCCTCACAGTCCAAACATATGCGTTATAGCTGAATTGACCGTAGTGTATGACAGCATGGGTGTTTCCCAGTGGTGGGTTGCCGCTGGAAGTGCGTAAAACTTATGCTGGATAAGTTGGCGGTTCATTCCGTTGTGGTTACCCCTGATTAATAAAGGGACTGAGCCAGAACGAAACTGAATGAATTGGATTTGTGCATTTATTATCACGTTTTATTAAGCTTCCTGGCTGCTACCTATAAAAGTGGCGCTCTCAGCCGGTGTGCATTGACGATCGGGGGGGTCAACTTTTTCGGTAATGTTAGTTTGTCTAATACATGCTTCAGTGAATCAGATTTATGTATTTAATTAATTGATGAATGATGAAAGTCATCTTTTGTTAGCTGTTTGTACAGAACTGTGTGTAGCTTAAGTGTGTCCACAGTAATATTGGGGTGATATAAAGATAATAAGCCTATTTATATATATATATATATATATATATATATATATATATATATATATATATATATATATATATATATATATATATATATTTCTCGACCTTATAATAGTGTCCAAACCCCTTTCATTTTGAGGCTGACCACAACTTGACATAGGTGTGTGGTTTCCCTGGCCACCGAAATTGATTGACAGTATTTACTTGTCTCTATAGTAGCGCAAATAATCATATTAACAAGACTGACATGCGCAAGGCAACTGGCATTAAAAGATCTGATCAGCGCTCTGTGATCATCAATCATCATCTAATGAGTTCAAGATTGTTTAAAACTTTTTTAAAACAGTGCATGTTTGTAATGAATTACAGC